GGGAAAGAGGGGTTGTTGAGGGGTTTGGTAAAATTTTGAGAGAATGGGGTAAAGTAGAAAGCTGGGAAAGCAGTAAGTTATAGGGGGAAAGGAAAAAGGGGTGGGGTCGTCTCGAAAGGGTTGGAAAGAGGGGGGGAAAAGGGGTTTTGTGGGGGAGGGGTTGGACTTCCAGAAGGTGCATGAGCGTGTTAGATAGGAGGAATGGAGCGAATGATACTTGGAACCCGACTCTGTTGGAGTGTGAGCGGGTAAAATTTAGTGAAAAGGGGTTTTGGGAAACGGTTATTTTCATTGTCGGACTTTGGGCCTGGGAAAGGGAAGTTCTTTTTCCTGCACTTTAAGGAGGGTTTGGGATTTGGCAGTTTGGAGGGTATGTTTGTTCTTTATATGTATATGCTTCTAAAATGTTTTTTTTGAGCACCTCTGCAAAAACAGTGATAATGTGTGGGTGGTGAAAGTGTTTTAAAGTGATGAAAAATATTTTCTTTTTGGGGTTTTCTTTCTTTTTTGGGTCACCCTGTCGGTGGGAGATGGCCGACTTGTTGAAAAAAAAAAAAAAAAAAAAAAAAAAAAGCCTATCTGATATTATTCTGACACCAAATGACTTCGAACAGGCAATAAATGACATGCCCATGCACTCTGCCCCAGGGCCAGACTCATGGAACTCCGTGTTTATCAAGAACTGCAAGAAGCCCCTATCACGAACTTTTACCATCCTATGGAGAGGGAGCATGGACACGGGGGTCGTCCCACAGTTACTAAAAGCAACAGACATAGCCCCCACTCAACAAAGGGGGCAGTAAAGCAATAGCAAAGAACTACAGACCGATAGCACTAACATCCTATATCATAAAAATCTTTGAAAGGGTCCTAAGAAGCAAGATCGCCACCCACCTAGATACCCATCAGCTACACAACCCAGGGGAACATGGGTTTAGAGCAGGTCGCTCCTGTCTGTCTCGGCTACTGGATCACTACGACAAGGTCCTAGATGCACTAGAAGACAAAAAGAATGCAGATGCAATATATACAGACTTTGCAAAAGCCTTCGACAAGTGTGACCATGGTGTAATAGCGCACAAAATGCGTGCTAAAGGAATAACAGGAAAAGTTGGTAGATGGATAAATAATTTCCTCAAACAGAACACAAAGAGTAGTAGTCAACAGAGTAAAGTCTGAGGCGGCGATGGTGAAAAGCTGTTCCACAAGGCACAGTACTCGCTCCCATCTTGTTTCTCATATTCATATCTGACATAGACAAGGATGTCAGCCACAGCACCATGTCTTCCTTTGCAGATGACACCCGAATCTGCATGACAGTGTCTTCCATTGCAGACACTGCAAGGCTCCAGGTAGACATCAACCAAATCTTTCAGTGGGCTGCAGAAAACAATATGAAGTTCAACGATGAGAAATTTCAATTACTCCGATATGGTAAACATGAGGAAATTAAAACTTCATCAGAGTACAAAACAAATTCCTTCCACAAAATAGAGCGAAAAACCAACGTCAAAGACCTGGGAGTGATCATGTCGGAGGATCACGCCTTCAAGGATCATAACATTGTATCAATCGCATCTGCTAGAAAAATGACAGGATGGATAATGAGAACCTTCAAAACTAGGGAGGCCAAGCCCATGATGACACTCTTCAGGTCGCTTGTTCTATCTAGGCTGGAATATTGCTGCACACTAACAGCACCTTTCAAGACGGGTGAAATTGCTGACCTAGAAAATGTACAGAGAACCTTCACGGCACGCATAACGGAGATAAAATACCTCAGTTACTGGGAGCGCTTGAATTTCCTGAACCTGTACTCCCTGGAATGCAGGCGGGAGAGATACATGATTATATACACCTGGAAAATCCTAGAGGGACTAGTACCGAACTTGCACATGAAAATCACTCGCAATGAAAGCAAAAGACTCGGCAGACGATGCAACATCCCCCATTGACATGAAGTGTGTTATAGTTTGTATTTATGTTACGTGCTGGGTTTTTGCATGATGAGATATACTTATATACTGTTTTGCTTTGTGCATACAGTGCATCTGATTAATGTGATTTTGTGAAAATTTTGTGTGTGTGTGTGTGTGTGTATAATATATATATATATATATATTTTATATATATATATATATATATATATAATATATATATATATAATATATATATATATATATATATATATATATTTATTTATTTATTTGGGAGTGGACGTGTCAGCGGATGGGTCTATGAAAGATGAGGTGAATCATAGAATTGATGAGGGGAAAAGAGTGGAGTGGTGCACTTAGGAGTCTGTGGAGACAAAGAACTTTGTCCTTGGAGGCAAAGAGGGGATGTATGAGAGTATAGTTTTACCAACGCTCTTATAGGGGTTGAAGCATGGGTGATGAATGTTGCAGCGAGAGAAGCTGGAGGCAGTGGAGATGTCTGTCTGAAGGGCAATGTGTGGTGTGAATATAATGCAGAGAATTCGTAGTTTGGAAGTTAGGAGGAGGTGCGGGATTACCAAAACTGTTGTCCAGAGGGCTGAGGAAGGGTTGTTGAGGTGGTTCGGACATGTAGAGAGAATGGAGCGAAACAGAATGACTTCAAGAGTGTATCAGTCTGTAGTGGAAGGAAGGCGGGGTAGGGTCGGCCTAGGAAAGGTTGGAGAGAGGGGGTAAAGGAGGTTTTGTGTGCGAGGGGCTTGGACTTCCAGCAGGCATGCGTGAGCATGTTTGATAGGAGTGAATGGAGACAAATGGTTTTTAATACTTGACGTGCTGTTGGAGTGTGAGCAAAGTAACATTTATGAAGGGGTTCAGGGAAACCGGCAGGCCGGACTTGAGTCCTGGAGATGGGAAGTACAGTGCCTGCACTCTGAAGGAGGGGTGTTAATGTTGCAGTTTAAAAACTGTAGTGTAAAGCACCCTTCTGGCAAGACAGTGATGGAGTGAATGATGGTGAAAGTTTTTCTTTTTCGGGCCACCCTGCCTTGGTGGGAATCGGCCAGTGTGATAATAATAAAAAAAAATATATATATATATCCCCCTTTCTGTTGTATTGAGCCTTTGTCATGGGTCGGACGTTATGTAATACTTTATATATGTATGATTCGATTCTTTTTAAAGTTTATAATTATGGTCTGTACCCTGATACCGGTTTGGTGTCAATGCTAAGTTCTTGATGTTAAGTTTTAGTCTGTATGGTATACAGACATATCTGGACAGTTTAGTGACGTAGTCCATTTGTGTCTGAGATTATGTATATGGGTTTATTGTAACAGTATAGCGCTTCAGTTATTGTGTTCTAAGCTGTATTCTTTTTCTGTATATTCGTATGTTGGTATATGTAAAGCTGTATCGTTAGGGATGCGTATGTAGATGTTCTGGTAAGATTATGATGGTAGGTTTTGGGTTTTTGATTAATGCGAAGGATGGGTAAGATAAGATTTCGTTCGGATTTTTAACCCCGGAGGGTTAGCCACCCAGGATAACCCAAGAAAGTCAGTGCGTCATCGAGGACTGTCTAACTTACTTCCATTGGGGTCCTTAATCTTGTCCCCCAGGATGCGACCCACACCAGTCGACTAACACCCAGGTACCTATTTGCTGCTAGGTGAACAGGACAACAGGTGTAAGGAAACGTGTCGAAATGTTTCCACCCGCCGGGAATCGAACCCGGGCCCTCCGTGTGTGAAACGGGAGCTTTAGCCACCAGGCCACCGGGCCTGGTGGCTATAACTTCTCTGGATGATATAACTTCTGTATGTTTTATGTTCAAATGTATTGAGCCTTTGTCAGATGTCATGTTATATGTACAATTTATATATATATATATGTTAGGTTTTGCATCAATGAATGTGTATATATGTCAATTCATGACCCTGTGACAAGTAATTTTTTTTTAGCTATGTTCTTGCCATAAGTTCTTGTTGTATGTTTGGCAGTAATATCTTGCGAGCATATAGGTGCAATCCGTTTGCCAGTTAATTTGATTGAGATCCATACTGTTTCTTTATTTTTATGTTAAACTGTATTGATTTTAAATAAAATATAAAAAAAAAAAATGAAAAGCAGGGGTGTCACTAGCACGTTAAAAGACCATACAATAAGTGTCAGGGGCCTGAGAGTGTTCAACTGCCTCCCAGCATACATGAGGGGGATTACCAATAGACCCCTGGCTGTCTTCAAGCAGGCACAGGACAAACGCCTAAAGTCGGTACCTGACCAGCCGGGCTGTGGCTCGTATATTGGATTGCGTGCAGCCAGCAGTAACAGCCTGGTTGATCAGGCTCTGATCCACCGTGAGGCCTGGTCACAAACCGGGCCGTGGGGGCGTTGACCCCCGGAACTCTCTCCAGGTAAACTCCAGGTATGTAAAACTATAGTTCTTCTCTATAAAATGTATTTTTTGTTAATATTTTTGGGTGTCTGAAACAGATTAATTGGATTTACATTATTTCTTAATGGAAATATTACTTCGGTTTTCGGCCATTTCGGCCAACCTTCTGGAACAGATTAATTACGAAAACCTGGGGGGGGGACTACTGTACCTCCAGTATTTCACAAACTATGTATACTTATTCTCATACACTGTACTTGTAATCATGATTTAGTTTTAAGGCTGCTTGAAATTTTTTGTGTAATAAAGGGTTTTCTATAAAACAGTTATATACATATGTCAATCACCTTAATTGTATAATATGCTATTTATACTCCACTTTGTAGAAATAGTTTTTGTTTATATGTACATACTATAGTTACTCAATAGTTTATATATTGCTTTTCAGTCTTGGTCTTTTGTTGTGTTGAGCATATACTGATCAATAAAAATTGTTGATACAAAACTTGTATTTGTTGATGTAACATTTTTTTGATAGTTTGTAGTAATTAAGTACAGTCAGTTTAAAACATTTTGATGATGACAAAAGTTTGAAGGTATTGTTCATTTTTTTCTTTGCTGTTCAGATACAACTGCAAATTAATATGCTAATTATTCTCACTTTACAGATAATGCTGTACTGGCACAATCCCGTTTCATCCTAATGGAGGGAATTCTTATGTTCTTTGGAGTGTTTGGCCTTCTTTGCATTTTGAAATTCCGTCGCTTTTACCATCAGCCTTACAGCGTGCCTTGGTTTGTCTGTCTCATTATTGGAGCTGCATCCCTCAGTGCCTGTGTATGGTAAGACAAATGTTTGTTATAAACAATAGGATTTATTTTAAATTTGGAACTTTAATATTTTCTTAAATAATGGAATTGCTTAATCTTTTCATACACTGATACTACACGAGATAATATTTTTCATCTATGTTCACAGTGTTCGATATTTTGGTATATTCACTTTCCTGCTTGGATTGGGCATCTTAACACGTGACTTCTGGATGATGGTTGGTGATCGCCTGGTATCAGAAAGACAGTTGCTCGGTCACTTCCTCACACGTGCAGTTATATTTATTACCATACCAGTTGCACTATATATTGGCTGCTTTTATGTTCACCTTTCGCTGTTATACAAGGCCGGCCCTAATGATAATATAATGACTTCAGCATTCCAAGCTAGCCTTGAGGTAAGTTGTTCAGTTTATTTCTTAAAGCAAGTCACATTGATGATTACTGTAACAAATCTATTTGTTATACTGGTTTGTAGTTACTGGTAGAGAGTTATGGTATCTGGTGTCTTAGTTTTTGTTTAAAGTTTCTACTACTGTTTTGGCACATACCTCCTCATTGGCTGATAAATTAGACACACATGCAACACTTGGGTATCAATAAAGATACCCAAGTGTTGCATGTGTGTGTAATTTATCAACTTGTCAGGTCTCTGAACCATTCATCTGCATTGGCTGCCATTCCAACAGTTTCAACTACAGTACTCTTTTTACTTGTTAAAATTTACATCTTTTTTTTTATGTACTTTACTCCTTGCTTTCCTTTTGATGGCATTAAAAATCATCTGTTATAGTGCAACTAATTTTACTCTGCAGGTTATTTTAAAAACAAAAGAATACTTAAAAAATAATAACAAAATAGGTCTGGGACAGGGATGTGTAATGTCACCATGGTTGTTTAACCCTTTCAGGGTCCAAAGGCCAAATTTTCAAAGTGCACACCAGTGTCCAAGAATTTTCAAAAAATAATTTTTTTTTCTTATGAAATGGTAGAGAATCTTTTTCTGAAGGAAATAAAACAAAAAAGTACGAAATTTGATGAAAAATTGATGAAATTATGCTCTCGCGAATTTTGATGTGTCAGCGATATTTATGCATTGGCAATTTTGCTGACTTTGACTCCCATTTTAGGCCAATTATATTACTCCAGTTGACCAAATTCTTAGCTATTTCACCAGTATTACTTCTGTTCTATTGATTGAGCACAAGAAATCACCTACTGCTTCAACTGCAAAATAGTGATCAGAAATTGGTAATTTGGCCAATTTAATGCAAAGTTCAAAATATTCTAATTTCAAAATAGGGTCCAGAATAAACAATGCAGGCATTCCTGGAACTAAACTAACGCTTCCTCTGTTCATTAGTTATGTTTTCAGGCTTTATAAATGAATTCCACTTTGATTTTTTATTCACATAATGAATTTTTATTCAAACCAAAAAATAGAAGATTTACTGTTATGTAATACTGTAATAATTGTATAAATAATATCACCACATTTGTGAACGTATATTAGACCCACCAGCTGGTGTGTATTAGACGTGTGGGATCATTTGTTTACTCTTGAACATCGGCAAAAATTTAACATTTCTGCTATTTTGAGCACAGTTTCAACCATTTTCCATTACTAAAACCAATCAAAATCATCTCTATTTCTGTAATATATCTTCCATTCTATCAAATGAGACCAAGAAATCGCAAATACAACTATAAAAAACATACGAAAAAACACTGCAAAATTGCTGCTTTAATCGAAAATTACGGTCTGTTTTTTCTCTCGTTATGCTGCAGGATTTGTTTTATGTGGTGCACACATACCACATAGATGTATTCTCTCATATCTAGGCCCAAATTGACTGCTCACAGCTTATCAGAGTGAGCTGAGCTCATGGCGTAGATCTACGGTTTGGACCCTCAACGTATAGCCGTAGATCTACGGCACGGACCCTCAAAGGGTTAACATACAGATGGGGTTGTAAAAGAAGTTGTTAGGGAAAGGGGTGGGATTAAATTATGGGGAATCAAATACAAAATGGGAATTGACAGTTACTTTTTGCTGATGAAACTGTGCTTTTGGGGGATTCTAAAGAAAAGTTGCAAAGGTTAGCAGACTAGTTAGGGAGGGTTTGTAAAGGTAGAAAGTTGAAAGTGAACATAGATAGGAGTAAGGTGATGAGGGTATCAAATGATTTAGATAAAGAAAAATTGGGAATCACATTGAAGGGAGGGAGGGAGGGAGTGAGTATAGAAGCGAATGTTTTCAGATATTTGGGAGTTGACTTGTCAGCAGATGAGCTGATGAAGGATGAGGTTAACCACAGAATTGATGAAGGAAGAAAGGCGAGTGGCGCATTGAATTATCTGTGGAGACGAAGAACATTATCCATGGAGGCAAAGAAGAGACTGTACGAAAGTATAGTGGTACCAACACTCTTATATGGGTGTGAAGCCTGGGTTGCAAATGCTTTAGTGAGGAGGCGGCTGGAGGCAGTGGAGATGTCCTGTCTAAGGGCAGTGTGTGGTGTAAATATTATGCAGAAAATCCGGAGTGTGGAAATTAGGAGGAAGTGTAGTTACTAAAAGTATTAGTCAAGAGGGCCGAAGACAGTGTCTACCATTGCAGACACTGCAAGGCTCCAGGCGGACATCAACCAAATCCTTCAATGAGCTGCAGAAAACAATATGAAGTTCAATGATGAGAAATTTCAATTACTCCAATGTGGTAAACACGAGGAAATTAAAACTTCATCAAGTACAAAACAAATTCCGGCCACAAAATAGAGCGAAAAACCAACGTCGGAGGATCTCGCCTTCAAGGACCATAACATTGTATCAATCGCAGCTGCTAGAAAAATGACAGGATGGATAATGAGAACCTTCAAAACTAGGGATGCCAAGCCCATGATGACACTCTTCAGGTCACTTGTTCTATCTAGGCTGGAATATTGCTGCACACTAACAGCACCTTTCAAGACAGGTGAAATTGCTGACCTAGAAAATGTAAAGAGAACTTTCACGGCACGCATAATGGAGATAAAACGCCTCAATTACTGGGAGCACTTGAATTTTCTGAACCTGTATTCCCTGGAATGCAGACGGGAGAGATGCATGATTATATACACCTGGAAAATCCTAGAGGGACTAGTACCGAACTTGCACACGAAAATCACTCACAACGAAAGCAAAAGACTTGGCAGACGATGCAACATCCCCCCAATGAAAAGCAGGGGTGTCACTAGCACATTAAGAGACAGTACAATAAGTGTCAGGGGCCCCGAGACTGTTCAACTGCCTCCCAGCATACATAAGGGGGATTACCAATAGACCCCTGGCAGTCTTCAAGCTGGCACTGGACAAGCACCTAAAGTCGGTACCTGACCAGCCGGGCTGTGGCTCGTACGTTGGATTGCATGCAGCCAGCAGTAACAGGCTGGATTGATCAGGCTCTGATCCACCGTGAGGCCTGGTCACAGACCGGGCCGCGGGGGCATTGACCCCCGGAACTCTCTCCAGGTAAATTCCAGGTGAAGTGGTTTGGTCCAGAGGCGTTGCTGGGGTTGGTGTCACCCAGGGCAGCAAATTGGTGTCACCCCAGTGGAATTAAAGGGTGGGGGGATGGGGGTAGTAAACTCCAGTTATGTCACTACTGCATGACCAGTAACTAATGTTTAGCAATGAGAACATTGCTAAATTGAACAGGAGAATACTTCTCAACTTTATTAATGATAAAATAAATAATCGTAGTAATACTGAGTAAACATAAACTCAAATACCACTTTGAGTACAAGCAACAGATCCTTCATTTATTCATCTTCAACAATGCCCCCCCCTTCCACCCCCCCCAAAAAAAAATGAAAAATGAAGAAAAACATTGTAATATCAGAGAAACACTAGTTCCGATTTGACCTTGAGTCCAGGTAACATCTCAGTGAAGCTGATCTTAAGTTTCCTTGCCTTCATTCCTGCAAAATCATCTATCACATCATCAAAATCAGTGATTTGCCCTATATAGGCTATATAGAAATGAAGGATTCTTCTCTTATGTTGGTGCAGCACTGTTTTGTGCATAAGTGTCACCTTTAGAGGCTCTATGGTGTCACCTGGGGCAGCCCCCCTCCCCTTATGACACCTCTGGTTTGGCCATTCAGAGAGAATGGAACAAAGAATGATTTGGTGAGTGTATAAATTTGTAGCGAAAGGAATGCAGGGTAGGGGTCATCCCTGTAAAGGTTGGAGGGAGGGGGTAAAGGAGGTTTTCTGGGCTTGGGCTTGGGCTTCCAGCAAGCATGCATGAGAGTGTTAGATAGGGAATGGTGACAAATGGTTTCTGGGACCTGACAAGCTGTTGGGAGTGTGAGCAGGGTAATATATTGTTAAGGGATTCAGGGAAACTGGTTAGTCAGACTCGAGTCCTAGAAATGGGGAGTACAATGCCTGCACTTTAACCCTTTCAGGGTCCGTGCTGTAGATCTACGCCTTTACGTTGAGGGTCCAAACCATAGATCTACGCCATGAGCTCAGCTCACTCTGATAAGCTGTGAGCGGTAAATTTGGGCCTAGATATGAGAGAATACATCTGTGGTATGTGTGCACCACATAAAACAAATCTGCAGCTCAGTGCATAATGAGATAAAAAAACTGAGACCGTAATTTTCGATTAAAACAGCAACTTTGCAGTGCTTTCTTTTATGTTTTTTATAGTTGTATTTGTGATTTCTGTCTCATTGATAGAAGAATTATATTACAGAGATGATTTGATGTTATATGAAATGGCTTGAACGGAGCTCAATTAGGAATTAATTTGCGTTAAGAGTAGCAAATGACCTCACACGTCTAATACAGCAGCTGTGGTCATTTGTCAAATGTTGATTTTATTTATACAATTACAGTGACCCCCGCATAACGATACCTCCAAAATTGGACCAATTGTTAAGTGTTTATGAGCGTTTGTTGTATGTTGGGTCTGAAATGGACTAATCTACTTCACAATATCTATGGAAAAATTCGGTCATAATGGCACCTGAACATACTCTGGATGAAAAATATGTTAACGGGTCCACTGTATTACAATATTGCATGACAGTAAATCTTCTGTGTTTTGGTTTGAATAAAAATTCATTATGTGAATTTAAAATCAAAATGGAATTCATTTGTAAAGCCTGAAAACATAACGAATGAACAAAGAAAAGTTAGTTTAGTGCCAGGAATGCCTGCATTGTTTATTCTGGATCCTATTTTGAAATTGGAATATTTTGAACTTTGCACTAAATTGGCCAAATTGCCAATTTCCAATCACTTTATTTTGTAGTTAAAACAGTTGACTTGGCGATTTCTTGTGCTCAATCGATAGAATTGAAGTAATACTAGTGAAATAGCTAAGAATTTGGTTGACTGGAATAAGGTAATTGGCCTAAAATGGGAGTCAAAGTCGACAAAATCGCAGATGTGTAAATGTGTAAGCATGCACGTATGTTTGTACGTGCACGTTTAGTGGGACCTAGGCTTAAGTAGAAGTAGCAAGACGTACCTGAAATCTTGCATGTTTGAGACAGAAAAGACACCAGCAATCCTACCATATAAAACAATTACAGGCTTCTGTTTTATACTCTCCTGGCAGGATGGTAGTACCTCCCTGGGTGGTTGCTGTCTACCAAAATACTACCTAGGAAATCCTTAATGTATCTAGCAAAAATTTAATGAAATATTATTAATATAAAATGAGATGGTTTTAAACTGATTCTGATCACCACAGTACTGTATAGTGTAAATGTTTTCTTCAATCAGTGCTTTAGGAGAAACATTTTGATTAATATTTTGACACTTAAACAGGGTGGTTTGGCTTCTATTATTGCTAATCAACCAGTGAAGGTGGTTCATGGGTCACAAATTACACTGCGGCACACTCATGGCCGCACCTGTTGGTTGCACTCTCACGATGCTGTGTATCCTGTCAAGTACCCGGATGGGCGTGGCTCCTCACACCAGCAGCAGGTCACATGCTATAGCTATAAAGATGTCAACAATTGGTGGATTGTCAAAAAACCAGAGGTGTAAGTTAATAATTATGTCTAAGTTTTTAAATAGTAAATTTTACAAGTTAGCCAGCACCATAAGCAGTGTTTATAATCTGCACCCTATTCTCACTACCAACACCACCACTGACAAAATTTTCTAAGCTTTGATTTCATATGTTCTTACCAAGCTCATCCTGCCCATACCTGACACAACACTTTGGTTACTCACTCCTGCAAATGCAACCCCCTCACCTTGTACCTAATTCATATACAGCAAACCCTCAATATATTGGACTTTTAATTATTTTATTTTCAAAGTTTATTGTAGTATATCTCAGTTGTGTACAGTACTGTATTAGATATACAGTAGATTACTTTAGTGTTTTTGTTTCTTGCTACAGATTTTAACTTTATTCTGACATAACGAAGACTCAGATAATTTTCCCATTAGTCCATTATATCGAGGGTTTTCTGTAATTTTCTTTTTTGTTTTGAAGTAGGAAAAACCCCTGGCGGACAAAGCATTCCATTATCATAATGCCTCATGTCTCTCTTCCATACTTAAGTGTTGATTCACCTTTTACAATGTAACATTCATACAAATGTGTTCTGCTGTTCATAGATTTTTTTAAAATTGTAAATGAAGGGATTCAGGGAAACCGGTTATTTTCATATAGTCGGACTTGAGTCCTGGAAATGGGAAGTACAATGCCTGCACTTTAAAGGAGGGGTTTGGGATATTGGCAGTTTGGAGGGATATGTTGTGTATCTTTATATGTGTATGCTTCTAAACTGTTGTATTCTGAGCACCTCTGCAAAAACAGTGATAATGTGCGAGTGTGGTGAAAGTGTTGAATGATGATGAAAGTTTTCTTTTTGGGGATTTTCTTTCTTTTTTGGGTCACCCTGCCTCGGTGGGAGACGGCCGACTTGTTGGGGGAAAAAAAAAAAAAATATGCCACTTTACAATAGTTTCATCAGAGATATTTTTTCCACTGTTTATGCTCTTATTTTTATGTTTTCTTGAAATGCTCCTCTAAAATTATAGGAATTTGGTTTATATGTTTATGATGCTACCAAGGTCTGTTTTCATTAGTTTAATTTTTCCAGGGAGGAATTGGTTGTGACTGAGCCACATGAGCCCATTAAAAATGGAGACCTTGTTCAGCTGGTTCATGGCCTCACCTCTCGGGCCCTCAACTCTCACGATGTTGCAGCTGGCATGTCACCACACAACCAAGAAGTAATAAAAATGTTATACTTGTATTTTACAGAAGTTGCACAGTGCTTTGGTAAACATTTTTAACTTCCTATTCCTCAAAATCATTTACCAGTTAAGTGTACTTTGTCTTCATACTAGAGGAGCAGAGAACAAGAGGGGGCTTGCTTACATGGACATAGACAAGAATAGGATCTTTAAAAGGGATGCATAAGGTACAAATTTAATCACTTAAATAAACTACAGGGTTAACTGCACAAGTACCTTCCATAAAGGAGAGTCAAAAGCAGTATGTCAGTTGGTTGAAATTTAAGATGTGGGACCAAGAGCTAGTGATTCTTCCCTTGCAAACTATCCTAGGTAATTGAAGATAGATGTTGATTTTATGTGCATGAGTTTTGGTAGACTAACTTTCTTCACTAAGGTATTTGAGGAAGTAGATCATGGTATTGAATATATTGTGTGTGTATATGGACTTAAGTAAGACTTTCAATAAAGTTCCACATCAGAGGCTATTGAGGAAACTTAAGGCACACGGAATAGGAGAAATTTTTTCCTGGGTTGAGGCATGGTTGATGAATAGGCAGCAGAGAGTTTGCATAAATGGGGAGAAATCGGAATGGGGGCATATCACAAGCGGTGTTCTTCAGGGGTCAGTGTTGGGCCCCTTGTTGTTCACAATCTACATAAACGACATAGATGAGGGAATAAATAGAGGCATAAGCAAATTTGCTGATGACACCAAAATAGGCCATCCAATTCATTCAAATGAGACATTAGAGCAATCCAGGATGATTTGAATAGACTCGTGCAGTGGTCGGAGAAGTGGCAGATGCAGTTTAATATAGACAAATGCAAAGTTCTAAATGTTGGAAAGGAAAATAACCATGCCACATATAAACTAAATAATGTAGATCTTAATATTACAGATTGTGAAAAGGATTTAGTTCTGGTTAGTAGTAATCTAAAACCAAGGTAACAGTGCATTAGTGTTTGCAATAAAGCTAACAGAATCCTTGGCTTCATAGCAAGAAGCATAAATAATAGAAGTCCTCAGGTTGTTCTTCAACTGTCTTTGGTTAGGCCTCATTTAGAATATGCTGCACAGTTTTGGTCACCGTATTACAGAATGGATATACGTAAATGCACAGGAAAGTGTACAAAGGAGGATGGCAGAGTTGATCCTATGTACTAGAAATCTTCCCTATGAGGATAGGCTGAGGGTCCTGAATCTGCACTCTAGAAAGGTGAAGAATTAGGGATGATATGATTGAGGCAGTGGAGATGTCCTGTCTAAGGGTAATGTGTGGTGTAAATATTATGCAGAAAATTCGGAGTGTGGAAATTAGGAGAAGGTGTGGAGTTAATAAAAGTATTAGTCAGAGGGCTGAAGAGGGTTTGTTGAGGTGGTTTGGTCATTTAGAGAGAGTGGATTAAAGTAGAATGACATGGAGAGCGTATAAATCTGTAGGGGAAGGAAGGCGGGGTAGGGGTCGTCCTCGAAAAGGTTGAAGGGAGGGGTAAAGGTGGTGATATGGGTGAGGGGTTTGAACTTCCAGCAAGTGTGAGTGAGCGTGTTAGATAGGAGTGAATGGAGACAAATGGTATTTGGGACCTGACGAGCTGTTGGAGTGTGAGCAGGGTAATATTTAGTGAAGGGATTCGGGGAAACCTGGTTATTTTATATAACCGGACTTGAGTCCTGGAAATGGGAAGTACAATGCCTGCACTCTAAAGGGGCACCTCTGCAAAAACAGTGATTATGTGTGAACGAGGTGAAAGTGTTGAATGATGATGAAAGTATTTTCTTTGTGGGGATTTTCTTTTTTTTTGGGTCACCCTGCCTCGGTGGGAGACGGCCAACTTGATTGAGGTGTATAAATGGAAAACAGGAATTAATAAAGGGGATGTAAATAGTGTGCTAAAAATATCTAACATAGACAGGACTCGCAGCAGTGGCTTTAAATTGGAAAAATTCAGATTCAGGAAGGATATAGGAAAACACTGGTTTGGTAATAAAGTTGTAGATGAGTGGAACAAACTCCCGAGTACCGTCATAGATGCTAAGATGTTGTGTGGTTTTAAAAATAGGTTGGATAAATACACGAGTGAGTGTGGGTGGGTGTGAGTTGGACCTGACTAGCTTGTGCTAGTAGGTCGGATGCACTGCTCCTCCCTTAAGTGACGTGTCTAACCTCACTAGGTCAAGGCATTGGCTTAAGTCGGTGGGAGAATTAGAGCTGCCTTGTATAGGCCAGTAAGCCTGTTGCAGTGCTCCTTCTTTCTTATGTTCTTACAAATGCACTGGCTTAGGCTGCTCAGAAAGAAGATACAAAAGCTTTTCCCATACCATGTTTCCTCCAGTTATAAATGAGTGGAAATGGTTGGAAATGGTAGACCTACTGTTCAGCTTGAATAAAACAAAGAAACTATTATTACGTATAATAAAATAAGGAAAATAGATATTTATTGCAGGATTGTCAGAAATGATGCATAAAAAAATTTCAACAAATTATAAAAGGTTTAAGAGGACATAGGTGTTTGTTCAAGATGCAATGTCACTCTTGACAGACTTTGAGGATTGTGCTCACATCTCTCGTCCATAGCCACCCATTTGCTGGTGCTCCTGACCCTCCTCTTGCTTTTGTCCTTCTGCTGCTTGCATGTTTTTTATATTTCCTGGAGTGCCTGTAGGGATCTCTGGGAACTTTTATCAGAGTTATTGAACATTAACACATCACAAATAGCATCAGTTGAAAAACTGATGCTGGTAGTATTAACTTGGTGTGATAGTAGTTGTTTTATTAATGTAGTTTATTATTACTTTAATTATTTTCTTAGTATGTATATTTATTATTACAGATGTTACAGTGGATAGGGGAACAATGTGGCAGATGTTGCAAGTATATGGAATAGGTAGTAAGTTACCAAATGATGTAGAAAGTTTTTATGAGGATAGTGAGGCTCAGGTTAGGGTGTGTAGGAGAGAGGGAGACTACTTCCCAGCAATACTAGGGATGTGTAATGTTACTATGGTTAACATAGTTATAGATGGGGTTGTAAAAGAAGTAAATGCTAGGGTGTTGGGGAATGGGGTGGGATTAAATTATGGGGAATCAAATCCAAAAGGGAGTTGACAGTTACTTTTTGCTGATGATACTGTGCTTTTGGGGGATTCTGAAGAAAAGTTGCAAAGGTTAGTTAGGACAAGTTTGGGAGGGTGTGTAAAGGTAGAAATTTGAAAGTGAACATAGATAAGAGTATGATGATGAAGGTATCAAATGGATATCACATTGGAGGGAGGGAGTATGGAAGAAGTGAATGTTTTCAGATATTTGGGAGCTGACTTGTCAGCAGATGGGTTTATGAAGGACGAGGTTAGCCATAGAATTGATGAAGGCAAAAAGGAGAGTTGTGCGTTGAGGTATCTGTGGAGACAAAGAACGTTATCCCTGAAGGCAAAGAAAGGAATGTATGAGAGTATAGTGGAGCCAACACTTATATGGGTGTGAAGCATGGGTTGTAAATGCTGCAGTAAGGAAGCGGCTGGAGGCAGTGGAGATATCGTGTCTAAGGGCATGTGTGGTGTAAATACAGCCTCTCCTCGCTTTGCTACGTACTTGTTTATCGACCCCTCGGACTTTAGACGGGCTCTCTGACCAGTATTCATACCTAAATAATGTGTATTAGAGCTGATTTCCTCTTCTGTTTATTTCATTATACAGTACACTACTGTATAAACATTTAAAAATATACCAGAAATGTTATAAATGGTGCAAAGGTGACATTAAAACAATATCAAAGATGACTCAAGAAATCGTAATGACACGATTGCAAACAAACCATACCCCCGGTCGGGATTGAACCCGCGGTCAGTCTCAAAACTCCAGTCCGTCGCGTTAGCCACTAGACCAGCTAGCCACAATAAGATTCATCCAACTAGGTATATTTCTACACCTGGGGCTGGAGTTTTGAGACTCTATGACCGCGGGTTCAATCCCGGCCGGGGGTATGGAATATCAAAGATAGTCGACACAAACTCTCTACCATTATAGTATGCTCCTCACTTGGCAATGAATTCATTTAACAACATGGTCTTAGGAACGGAACTGTCGTTAAGTGAGGAGAGGTTCTATTATGCAGAGTATTTGTAGTTTGGAAATTAGGAAGAAGTGTGGAGTAACTAAAAGTATTAATTACAGGGCTGAAAATGGGCTGTTGAAGCGGTTTGGTCATATAGAGAGATTGGAACAGAGTAGAATGATTTGGAGAGCGTAGAAGTCTGTTGGGGAAGGAATGTGGGGTAGGGGTCATCCCCGAAAAGGTTGGAGGGATGGTGTAAAGGAGGTTTTGTAAGCGAGGGGCTTGGACTTCCAGCAAGCATGCACGAGGGTGTTAGATAGCAGTGAATGGTGACGAATGGTTTTTGGGACCTGATGAGTTGTTGGGAGTGTGAGCAGGGTAATATTTTGTGAAGGGATTCAGGGAAAATGGTTAGCTGGACTTGAGTCCTAGAAATGGGAAGTATGCCTGCTCTTTAAAGGAGGGGTTTAGGATATTGGCAGTTTGCAGGGATGTTTAAACTGTCGTATCTGAGTGCCTCTGCAAAGAGTGACTCTGTATGAGTAATGGTGAAAGTGTTGAATGATGTAAGTTTTTTTCTTTTTTTTTTCTTTTTGGGTCACCCTGTCAGCATAGTTGCTAATCCCTGTGTTACATAGCATAGCATATTAGTATCATCCATGTGCTTTAGATAGGAGATCCCTTGTAGGCCTGTGACTGTGTGACTTCACGGGATGCGCATGTGTACGCTCGTACCTCTGCCCCGGTCTCACTCGGCATAGACCTACAGGCGAAGACAGGCAAGGCACTGGGCTCCATTCCTCATCATCTCAGTCTGACAATATATCGTAACCATCCAACAAGTGTGTGTACCTTCAACCCTCGATATCTCCATTTAAGAACCCCTTACGATAAATGGTGGCATCGGAGGGCCTGTAATTCTGACGATTACAGCGATTTCTGGAGATAAATTTCGACCTGCAAGACGGCCATTTCGTGTCACCAGTAGGCCTACCGAGGTTAACGCCAGCCAGCTACCTCAAGCCAGTTCTCCCGCCCAAGCTCCTACCAGCTTCTACATTATTCACTGGTCAGTCTTTGTATTAGTGTATCTGCTTATTTGCATCACTCCCGAGGGGTTGACCCGAGTTTGCAAAATAAGCCAGCTTCCAGTCTGTGATGAGGAATGGAGCCCAGTGCCTTGCCTGTCTTCGCCTGTAGGTCTACGCCGAGTGAGACCGGGGCAGAGGTACGAGCGTACACATGCGCATCCCGTGACGTCACACAGTCACAGGCCTACAAGGGATCTCCTATCTAAAGCACATGGATGATACTAATATGCTATGCTATATAACACAGGGATCAGCAACTATGCTGACAACCCTGCCTCAGAGGGAAACGGTCAGCGTGTTGAAAAGAAAAATTATTATTGTTCAGAGGGCTTAGTGATCTACTTGGTCAGTGTACTTCAGATTTCAAAACTATCTCCCCTACCCTTCATGTCCTTACTCTCCCTCTATTTCTTTCTGTTATTTCTCTATCTCATTTCATTTTTCTTCATCCTTCCCTCTCTAGCCTCCTCCCTTCCCTCTGGTCTCCTTTTTCTCCAGCTCTCACACTTCCTTTCCTCTCTACCAAATATCCAAATATCTATATGGATATGCTGAATATTGAAGACAGAGTAAAACAACTGAAGTTAAATCAAGTTTATAAAATTGCTCAGTGTCCAGAATATCTTGCTGCTAATTTTATCATAGTTGGGAACCAAAGCAACCATAGTACTAGGGGGAGAGAGCACAACTTTGTAGTACCTACAGTCAGTTGCCAGGCTTCAAACACTTTTTATTGTACAGCAATTAAGGAATGGAACAGATTGCCCACACAGGCCAGAGCCAGTCATAGCATGAGCCAATTCAAGAAGAGCCAAAAGGTACCTAATGAATGTAGCAACAGAAAAGGAGGAGAATGATTTTTTATTTTATTAGCTAACAAACATGTAGATGTAAATAACTCTATTTACCTTATTCCTAGTATATATCCTTTATAGTATAATAATAAGATATCTTCTATATTGTATAATAAGGTATAAAAAGGACCCCAATGGAAATACGTCACTCTGACTTTTGGGTTATCCTAGGTTCTCTACACACATGCTGCTATGTATGATAATCTATGTAACTATATTGTGTATACCTGAATAAACTTACTTACTAGTACCAATAGCAAGCATGTTTGTCTCACACTCAGCAGACAGAGGACCGAGCCTCCACCTCTTCTTGCACTGAATGACCCTCATGGGTTTAGTGCTTAACATGAATAATAATAATTTCCTCTCCACCCCTTCCATCCTCCTCCTCCTCTTCTCTGTCCTCCTCCTCCTCTTCTCTGTCCTCCTCCTCCTCCTCCTCTTCTCTGTCCTCCTCCTCCTCTTCTCTGTCCTCCTTCTCTCTCCTCCTCCTCCTCTCTCCTCCTCCTTCTCTCTCCTCCTCCTCTTCTGTCTTCCTCCTCCTCCTCTTCTCTGTCCTCCTCTTCCTTCCCTTCCTCCTTTTCCTCCCTGCCTTGGGATCAACCACAGCCAACCACCGTAAATCTTTATTAATAACCCAACAAAAAACTGCAGTGCAGATGATTACTAGCTCCTGTGCCAGGCAGCACACCCCACCACTTATCAAAAGCCTGAGCTTGCTAAATATATGATACATACACTTATATTATTTTGCTGCTACATATACAGAACATTAAACTCCAAAATAAACCCTCCACTTAAACTTCTTGATTACTACAACAAAACAGTCACAATACAAGGCATAAGGCACTCTTCAACATCCCTCATGTCAGTCTCGCACTATGCAAAAATGCAATGTACATGAAGGGCCTGAAGATCTGGAATTCACTACCTGAACTGGTAAAGGATCCCCTGACCACTTATAAATTTAGGACTTTGCTTAAAAATTATCTTCTCTTTCATTACTAACCAAAACAACTTCTAATTAGTTGTACAGTATTATATGACCTCTAGTCTATTAAACATCTGCCAATCCATGAAATATTACTCATTGAACCATTAATTGTAATGTTTTATTATGTGCAACTTCAAGATTATTATTCTTATAAACCTCCACCTTGACTACTTCGCATTAGTATTAAGATTAAATAAAGATTTTAATAAAAGTTAACCTCTTACCTTGTCTAGATTTAAGTAATTATGTACTAGGATTAGTCTACTCCCTCCCTCCCCCCCCTCCTCCCCTCCCTCCCTCCCCCCTTCCTCTCCATCCCTCCCCCCCTTCCTCCTCCCTCCCTCCCTCCCCCCTTCCTCCTCCCTCCCTCCCTCCCTTCCCCCCACTCTCCTCCTCCCTCCCCCTTCCTCCCTCCCCCCCCCCTTCCTCCTCCCTCCCTCCCCCCTCCCCCCCTTCCTCCTCCCTCCCTCCCTCCCTCCCCCTTCCTCCTCCTCCCCCCCTTCCTCCTCCTCCCTCCCTCCCCCCTTCCTCCTCCCTCCCTCCCCTCCCCCCTTCCTCCTCCCTCCCCTCCCTCCCTCCCTCCACCCTTCCTCCTCCCTCCCTCCTCCCCCCCCCCTCCCCTCCCCCTTCTCCTCCCCCCTCCTCCTTCCCTCCCCCCTTCCTCCTCCCTCCCCCCCTTCCTCCTCCCTCCCTCCCTCCCCCTCTCCCCTTCCTCCTCCCTCCCTGCCCCCTTCCTCATGCAGTGCCTACACAGATAATGCTGAATAAAGGTTGTGCAGAATACCAACCTAAAAATTCATCCATAATCTGGCATTTAAGGAAATCCAGCACCACCCAACTATCCCCACCAGAGAAAGAAAATGGATGAATTAGCATACAAGTGTTCATGGATTTCAGAGTGGTGTGTAATTCTCTCAGCTGACAAATTTCTCCACTATTAGATGGATTATTAAAAAAAAATGGCTAAACACAGCCTCAGATGTTCAGTGTAGGAGAAATACCATTTCGTTTTGTAAGAGAAAACGATTATCCTAGTTATGGGTATGAGAGGAAGTTGAGAGAAAGTGGGTAGTCATCATGATCATGTTACAGAGATATGACAACAAAATTCTTTTATCTCCAAGTGAAGATCCCCAGCATCCTCCTGAGTAGAAAAAGAGCGAGTGGTGGTTTCACACCTCTTAAATGTATATGAAACTTCTTTTTTAGGTCATTGATACACAGGAGGAACAACAGAGTGTGTAGAAAGCTTCATTGGAGACAGTGTTGGTAGAGTAGGTGTTATTGTCAAGGATACCTGCTAGCAACTGTCAGATATAGGTGTTAGTGCCAGGGTTAACTGTCAACAGCTTTGATGTAAATTTCGATCAGATATTAAGTGTGACTCTTGAGGACAAGTAGTGTACATCTTCAAACATTATGACCATTTGTCTTCTCTCAGATAATTATGTAATGTATTGTCACAGTTGCTCTTGCTGATGACACTGTGCTTTTGGGAGATTCTGAAGAAAAGTTGCAGAGGTTGGTGGATGAGTTTGGTAGGGTATGTAAAAGAAGAAAATTAAAGTGAATATAGGAAGCAGTAAGGTGATGAGGGAAAACAAAAAAAAATAGGTAACAAAAGATTGGACATTAGATTGGTGGGAGAGAGTATGGCAGAGGTGAATGTATTCAGATGTTTAGGAGTGGATGTGTCAACAGATGGGTCTGTGAAAGATGAGGTGGATCATAGAATTGACAAGGGGAAAAAGGTGAGTGGTGCACTTAGGAGTCTGTGGAGACAAAGAACTTTGTCCATGGAAGCAAAGAGAGGAAATAAGAGATTATAGTTATACCAATTCTCTTATATGGGTGCGAAGCACAGGTGGTGAATGTTACAAGGAGAAGGCTGGAGGCAGTCGAGATGTCGTGTCTGAGGGCAATGTGTGGTGTGAATGTAATGCAGAGAATTTGTAGTTTGGAAATTATGAGGTTCGTGATTACCAAAACTATTATCCAGAGGGCTAAGGAGGGGTAGTTGAGGTGATTCGGACATGTCGAGAGGATGGAACAAAATAGAATGACTGAGTGTGTGTATATCTGTAGTGGAGGGAAGGTGGGATAGAGGTCAGCCTAGGAAAAGTTGGAGGGAGGGGGTAAAGGAGGTTTTGTGTATCAGGGGCTTGGACTTCCAGCAAGCATGAGTGATTTGTGTTAGATAGGAGTGAATGGAGACAAATGGTTTTTAGGACTTTATGTGCTGTTGGAATATGAGCAGGGTAATATTTATGAAGGGATTCAGGAAAACCGGCAGGCTGGACTTGAGTCCTAGAAATGGGAAGTACAGGGCCCACATTCTGAAGGGTGTTAATGTTGTAGTTTTATAACTGTAGTGGCAAGACAGTGATGGAGTGAATGATGGTGAAAGTTTTTATTTTTCTGGCCACCCTATCTTGTTGGGAAATGGCCTGTGTGTTATTAAAATTTATTTGTATATTGAAGTTGTACATATGTCACCAGAACTGGGAATTCAGAAATTTCATATTACTGTACCCTTTTAGAATATCTTCTTTGGTTTACTGAAATATTATAAACCTGTGATGAAGTAAACATGAAGTGCACTGTGTTTTTTCAGTATTACAAACTTATTTAATGTACAATATTGTTGTATAGAGTTTATCAGTATTTTTATATAGTTAATTTTTCTTTTAACAAGGTTGCTGCTTACATCGACTACAATGTGTCTATGCCTGCTCAGACTACATGGCGTGTAGAGATCCTTAACAGTGAACTGTCTGATGGATACTGGCATGCTGTGGAAAGCCAGGTAAGGGCTGGTGGGTGTGTAGTATTTGGTTGCTTAATAATATTTAAAATTTAACTTGTGACCAAATGAATAGAACAAGGTATAGATTGTGCGTGTTAAGAGACACTTGCAGTCAGTTGCTTAACTTAAAAACTTTAGTCCCAGTTCTGGTAGTAAAGATTGAAAAAATTGATTGTCATTGTTCTTGTGTACAAACTGCCCAATAAAAAGTTTCAGCAGTTTAAAGAGTATAATACGTGTATAACACTAGGTATCTTCATTGACTAAATATTTTGCCTGCACTGCAGGCTTAGTCAGTCCAGGAGACAGTACACAAGATGAAGCCTACAGTGCAGGTGAAACATTTAGTCAGTAATGCTTAGTGTTGCAAATGTATCTTATTCTCCAACTTATCAGTACGTCCTCTCCTCACTTAACAACAGCGTTCTGTTCCTAAGACTATGTCTGTAAACGAATTCGTCACTGAGGAGCATACTATAATGGTAGTGGGTTTGTGTCAACCACCTTTGATATAGTTTAATGTTACCTTTGAACCATTTATAACATTTCTGGTATATTTTTAAATGTTTATACGGTAGTGTAATGTATATTGTAATAAACAGAATAGTCATTGGTTAATGAGTACATTGCTAAGTGAGGAGAGGCTGTATTGTATAAAAAGAATTAGCAAAAGTTCTCTATACTTTTGTGAAAACCCTCGACCCACTCCTAAATGTAATTTTTCTTTTCATCTTCTGTCTGTTTAACTAGCAGTAAAATAGACATTAGTTGGTTGGCTGTTGTGCTTCGCACACCTGGCAGGTTACATAAATCATAGACTGTTGGAGTATCCTTGACAAAAAAAGTTATTCTCCAGGGAGAGAAAGGAAGTGTCATGTAGAAAAAAAAGTTTACCTGATTTTTTTGCTTTAAATGAAGTTTTTAAAAAAATCTATCAGTGCATCTTTTAAGGAATTTGAAATGAAATTTTAAGGTTTAGTATTCCACTTCATAATAATAGTATTAATAATAATCAGTCTGGTATATATGAAAATTGAAACATTGTCCTAACTTGTTTGTCTCTTCCAGATACGCTTAATTCATGTGAATTCCAGTCAGGCTCTCAAATTTTCCGGGCGTCAGCTTCCAGACTGGGGTTTCCGACAACATGAAGTAGTTACTGACAAAGTGTTAGACCAGGAAGACACCATTTGGAATGTTGAAGAGCACCGCTATACTAGAAGTACGTACGGTGATTTTTACTTCGTGCTGTACTAGATTACAAGATATTGAACCTAGCATATAATTTCACAAATCACAATGGGAGAGTTTTACATCATTCTTTCAATGATCACAACTTTAAATCCTCTTGTTACATTGTTTATTACCTATCTAACTGTAGGGAGGGGAAATTAGCTGTAGCTTTTTGGCCTGAATTAGTACTTAAGTACTATGTTAGTTCTTATTGGTTTATGAGGAAAATTGTCTTGACACAGGTCTGTCATATGATAGCATATTTAGTGGTATAGGCTTTGGCAGGGGTGCAGAAAAAAATTGTAAATATGCCTGTAAAGGTTAAATAGTTGTGATGGCCAGTAACAGTAACTGCTGACTTAAAAATGCTGGATTTGGTGGTCTGTGTGAACTGTAGGGAAGAGTGCTGTTTTTGTGCCGCTGTCATTAAATGTCAAAGAGACTGTTTTGAATGTTATGTTTGGTTGTAGTGTACAGTTGCTGCATCCATTCTCTGTAAGACTAATATGTATATGTATAAAAAAAATTCTCTTTAATAACTTGAAATTAAATGTTTTGCAGAATATTTATTGATCATACTCTAGGTACTAATTACTATTGGAGTATGAACAGGGTAACATTTACGAGGGAAGCGAGTATGGAAGAAGTGGCTACATTTAAGTGTCTGGGAGTGGACATGTCAGCTTATGGGTCTGAAAGATGAGGGTAAAAAAAGGTAGGTGATGTGTTGAGGCATCTGGAAAGATAGTTTATCTATGAAGACCAAGAGGGGTATATATCCGACAAGTGATACCTACACTTTTATATGCGAGTAGGGCATGGGTTGTGAACATTGCACCAAGAAGGTGGCTAGAAGCAGTGGAGGTGTTGTGTTTGAGAATGAAGTGTGTTGTGAATATTATGCAGGGAATTGGAGGTATGGAATCACCAAGGGCTTAATTCAGAGAGCTGTGAAGGGGTTGAGAATATTTTAGCCTTTAGAAAGGATGGAGAGTGGTAGGATGATGAGAGAGTATAAATCTGGGGTAGAAGGAAGTAGGGGTAAGGGTCATCCCAGAAATGGGCATGCGAGTATGTGAGTGGAGGAAAATGGTTTGTGGGTGGACTTGCTGTTGGAGTGTAAGCAAAGTAATATTTAAGGGTTTCAAGGAAACCAGTTAACTGAACTAGTCTTGGAGGTGGGAACTGCAGTGCCTGCACTCTGAAGGAGGGATGGTGATATTGCAGTTGAATGTTCTTCTGAATTATGATGTTAGTACATCTCTGGCCAGAAGTGATTGAATGACGGTGGATGTACTTCCTTCTTTGGTTTACTCTACCTTAACGGAAGATGGACGATTAGGGGGAAGAAAAAATTACATTGATTAGCTTTGGGTTACTAGTGGATATGTGGTGGTGATAAAGGATGTATTTGTTGCCACTATAGTTTAGCAGTATGTAGGTATGAAAACTTGTATGTTATTGTAACATAAGGCCATTACAGTAATACAAATATTTGTCATTTAACAGCCGAAGACAAGAAAGAACGAGAGAAAGATTTGCTTCGATCAGAAATGATTCCTATGGAACGCAAAAATTTAACATTTTGGAATAAACTGTTTGAACTCCAGTACAAGATGTTATTTAACAATCAAGAAAATGTTGCTGGCCACATGTATGCTTCTGAACCACTGGATTGGTTATTCCTCAAGCGAGGAGTGGCATACTGGATCTCTGCAAACAGTAATGTATGTAGAAATGTCAAAAAACGTTCATTTTAAATTTGTGAATTCATGCATTACTGCTTCCAACCATTTTAGGTATTGAGGTTAGTCCAGCTTGATCCAAATGAAGTATATATATAATTTTAAAGATAGAAAATTTAATTTAGTTTTTTATTGTGTACTGATATACAGTTTGGAAATACTTAGTTCCATGTTTATTTCTCTCTATACACAGATCTGTTTATATGTACACTTGGAGCTGTGTGTATACTGGGAGTATATTTTAATTCCTACTTTGGCAACTAAAATATTAATGATATTTTATGGTTATAGACAGATTTAAAGTAAAAACTAAGTTGACTGACCCACGTTCATTGTTGTATTTCTTGCTGACAATCGCCTGGCATTAATGCTCATTCTGGTGGGTAAGTGGAGAAGAGGCTAATTTGGGAGTGACATATTATTGTGGATTTTATAGGTAAATTATTTTTTAATAAATCCAACTGCAAAGTTATAATGTTTAATAACTATAGGAAATCAGCATTGGGGGATCTGTTAGCTTTGTGCTGCAGTATATGCATTATAAAGATCATTTATACAAATATAATTGTTTTGTGTATAAAATTTCAAACCCATCACCATTCACAATGAAGTTTTATACTTTAGATAGAGTATTTGCACAGCACTGGTACTTCTAGGGAATTTAAAAAAAATTACCTTGCTGTTGTTAGCGGTGACTGACTTGATTGGTTTTGATGGCAAAATGTGTTCAGATGAGCAGTTTAGCATTATTTTAATATTTGCTGGTGATAATTGCCTATTTGCTTTCAGATTTAAATAATGGAACCTCGGTTGTTGAATTTAATTTGTTCCAGATGTTGATTCAACAACCAAAATAGACGACAACCAAAGCAGTTTTTCCTACAAAGAATAATGTAAATAGAGGGGTAGGGGTTGTCCTAGGAAAGGATGGAGGGAGAGGGTAAAAGAGGTTTTGTGTGCAATGGGCCTGGACATGCAGCAGGCATGTGAGAGCATGTTAGATAGGAGTGAATGGAAATGAATGGTTTTTGGGACCTGACAAAATGTTGGAGTGTGAGTAGGGTAATATTTTGTGAAGGGATTTAGGGAAATCAGTTAGCCAGATTAGTCCTGGAGGTGGGAAGTATAATGCCTGCACTTTAAAGGAGGAGTTTGAGATATTGGCTGTTTGGAGTGACATCTAAACTGTCATATCTGGGCACCTCTGCAAAGACGGTGATTGTGTGTGAATAATGGTGAAAGGGTTATTCTTTTTTTGGGTCACCTTGCCTCAGTGGGAGATGGCCAGCATGTTGGAAAAAAAAAATTAATCCATTCCAGAACCCAAATGACAACATAATAATTTATTAAAAATGTTCTTACTGCATACTGCATAAAACTGTAAAAATGAATACCAAAAGAAACTTTAACTGAAATACTGTACAGTAAATGAAAATTTAACTGCCTCTTACCAGTCACAGGAGAGTTAAAAGCATACTGGAAGCAGGAGATGAAGGAGAGGAGGGGAGATTGTTAATACTTGGAAGGAGAGTCACCTTCTATTAATATGTCAAGCAACTGTCCTGGTGTTTCTCTTTTGTATGTCTTTTCACCACTAACACCTTGTTCTGGCTCGCTGGTTCTTCATCTTGCTAAAAACCTATCCAGTGAGGTTTGTTTCAGGCTCCATTTTAACACTTGTCTAAATTGAGACATACACTGTCATTGTACATGTTAGAGAGACTGATGGCCACTGCTTTGTCTAGATGGTATTTTTCAGCAAACTCCTGCACTTCATGCCATTTAGCACACATTTCCTTAAGTGCAATGGGCACATCATCCCTTCCTCCTCTTTCCCTGATGACAGCTCCTCTGCTGCAGTATGTAGCTGCTCCTTCTAAAAGTTCTTCTGTGATGAGTTTAGTTCTGTGCTCCTCCACCAACTCCTCCACATCTTCAGTCACCTCTAGGCCCAAGGTCTTGCCCATGGACACACTATCCTCTACTGGCTCAGGCTCATTTTCAAAACCTTGAGAATCCCTGGCTGCCAGTCAGGCCACAATTTCTTCCATGCTGACTGCGTGGTCCTGGAAGACACATTCCCCCAGGCTTTGTCTATAAGCCTCAAGTAGGTGAGGATATTGAAATGGTCCTTCCAGAATTTCCTGAGGGTTAAATTTGTTTCTGAATTGATTTCAAAGCACATTTCAAAATGTGACCTGAGCCATTCATGTTGTCAGTCGCAACCAAGAGAATATATGAAAACCAGAACATTTTTTTTCTTGAATTCCTCATTTGAAAACCAATTTGTTTGACATGTAATACAGTCAGCCGAGTTTCCGCTGTATTTGGGTGAAAATATTTGATGGTTAAAAAATTTTCAGTGTTTTCTATAAATTATCCTTTTTAATATATACTCTTCAGGGAAATTGCAATATATCATGCTTAGCTATAAATTTAAATATCTGTGTACTCTATCAGGCTCAAGTACACTTCATTGGAAACATTGTTACCTGGTTGTCTGGGACATTGAGTCTAGTGGCGTATCTTGGCCTCTTTGTGCTGTATCTTTTGAGGCGACAAAGAGCATGCTATGACCTTCCAGAAGACTCTTGGAACAAATTCTGCACCTTTGGCGAGGTTTGTGAATTTCTTTCATACTTGAAAGTTTAAAGTTAAAACTCATGATAGTGTGGAATACTCAGGATCTAGCCTTTGAAGAAAAAATAAAACTCAGGTTTACTATATGAATATTATTCTTGAAATGGGTTAATAATGTGAAGTTTTGTCATTAGAAAATCATTGTTAATAAATTTGGATGAACTTTTGAGAGAATATAAAGGCAGAGAGAAATAAGTAGTGGACATTTGTTAATGTATGTCTGGATTTATATAAACTTGTTTAAGTTTCTTCATGCTGTTGATAAAATATTTTAAACATATCTTAAACCCCTTAAGGTAAAAAATTATTTCATTGGTAAGAACATTATCATGTTTTTATTTAATCAATTTTGTTTTTGCAGGTGCTTGGAATTGGGTATGCAGTGCACTACATTCCTTACTTCCTGGTTGACAGAACACTCTTCCTCCATCACTATATGCCAGCTTACATCTTCAAAGTAAGATTTATCTTTAATGTTATTGTTTTTAGTTCTCAGTACAGGGGAACCTTGGCACTCAAACTTAATTGGTTCCAGAAGGCTGTTCAAGTGCTGATCTGTTTGAGCACAGAACGAATTTTTCCCAACCAATTTTCTTTGGTTGGCTGTTATCACTAACCCTCTCAGGCCTCATGGTGACTTGTTTATACAAATAATGTAAAAAAACACCAAAAAATGCGAAGAAACACGAAATAGTTTACAGTGAAGTTCTGGCAGGTCGTGTTTAGTTGGTAGAGTACTAAGTAATTGGTTGACTACCGAGCAATTTGTTTACCTAACGAAGCATTCAGATGCCAAATTATTCAAGTATGGAGCTGTTTGAGTACTGAGGTTCCACTGTATTCATTTTTGGTAGAACAACAGTGGCCTGGTGGTTAACGCTCTCGCTTCACACGGTGAGGGCCTGGGTTCGATTCCCAGCCAGAGTAGAAACATTGGACGTGTTTCTTTCAACCTGTTGTCTATGTTCCCCATCAGTAAAATGGGTACCTGGGTGTTAGTCGACTGGTGTGGGTCGCATCCTGGGACACTGACCTAAGGAGGCCTGGTCACAGACCGTGCCGCGGGGGCGTTGACCCCCGGAACTCTCTCCAGGTAAACAGTAAACCCTCTCATAATGCATAAGCTACATTCCTGAAAATTGGCACTCTATGAAGGTGAACATTATGAAGTGAAGAACATGGAAAAATAGGATTGTTCCAGAGAGCAAATTTGCCAGACACCAGTTTTAAATGTAATTGGTAAAAAATTACTACAGTATAATTTGCTTAACATTTTATTTGTTGCTTCAGTCATTTGAAGAGTGGTATGCAGGGGTGTCATAAGGGGTTGGGGACTGCCCCGGTTGACACCATTTAGGGGGTGACACCATAGAGCCTCTAAAGAAGGTAACACTAATGACCAAAACCATGCTGCAGCTACCTAAGAGAAAAATCCTTCGTTTCTATATAGCCTATTATAGGATTATAGAGTACAAATAGGCCTATACATGTATAGGGAAAATCATTGATTTTGATGTGATAGATAATTTTGCAGTATTCAAATTCAAAGTTTATTCTCTATAAGGATTACAATGCTAAGTTTACAGAATTTGGTTGTGTGGTTTACATGTAGTAAAGTACTAATTACAGAGGGTGCCACTAGAACACCTAGCGTGGCTAGGCATTTCGGGCGGACTTAGATTAATTCTTAAATTTGAAATATTACAAATTATGAAGTAAGTTGGTATTATGGCTAAGTGACTAAATACTAGTTTGTGAGTTTAGCATTGTGAATGCTTTTGTTTTGGCACAATAATAAGTTTCAGTATTGGAGTATCACAGGCCAACTTATGACTAGTTAGGATTCATTATTTTAAGATTGAGATTGATATTTCTGTTTATGGTCAAATGGGCGAGTGAGTGTAAGTGTGAACCACCAGGTGGTATTCGTGTAATTAGTTGACGGGGTGTATCAGGGAGATAAGATGTTTTCTAATGGTAGTTTTGAAGGTGTTGAATGTGTCTGCAGTTCTAGAGTTTTCAGGTAGGGTATGCCAGATTTTAGGGCCTTTGACATACATTGAATTTTTGTAAAGGTTTAGTCGGACACGGGGAATGTCATAGAGATGTTTGTGTCTGGTGTTATGCCTGTGGGTTCTGTCACAACTATCAAGAAAGCATTTTAGGTCAAGGTTAATATTGGAATTTAAGGTCCTGTAAATGTAGATTGCACAGTAGTAAGTGTAGATGTACTGAACAGGGAGTAAGTTTAGATCTGTGAAGAGTGGAGGGGTTTGTTGCCAGGGATGGGATTTAGTGATTATTCTTACTGCGGCTTTTTGTTGGGTTATTATTGGCTTTAGGTGTGTTGCTGCAGTTGATCCCCAAGCACAAATAGCATAGGTGAGGTATGGATAAATAAGTGAGTGGTATAGTGTGAGAAGGGCATTTTGCGGCACGTAGTATCGTATCTTGGAGAGGATCCCAACCGTTTTGGATACTTTTTTGGTTGTGTTGGATATGGGTGCTGAAATTCAGGTTGTTGTCGAGGTATAGGCCTAGGAATTTGCCCTCATTATGTCTGGCAATTAGAGTGTTGTCGATCTTAATGTTAATTTGCGCAAGTCCTCCTCTGCTACCAAACATAATACAGTGGACCCCCGGATAACGATCTCCTCCCAATTCGACCAATTATGTAAGTTTATTTTTGTAAGTGCTTTTGTAGGTGTATTTTTAGGGGTCTGAAATGGACTAATCTAATTCACAATATTTCTTATGGGAACAAATTCGGTCTATAACGGCACCCAAACAGACTTCTGGATTGAAATAATATCGTTATGCGGGGATCCACTGTATAGTAGGTTTTGTCAGTGTTAAGCGTAAGTTTATTGCCTGTCATCCAAGTCCATATTTTGATCAGCTCCTTGTTAACAATGGTGTTGAGGGTAGCAAGATTAGGGTGAGAGATGACATAAGTTGTGTCCTCAGCAAAGAGAATGGGGTTCAGGTGTTGGGATACGTTTGGTAGATCATTGATGTATATGAGGAAATGAAATCTCAGATTCTTTGAGATGTTACCTGTACTCAAGGTTAAATATGAACCAGTTTTTTCTTTATTTTTCAAGTTTTTTTTTTCATTGTTGAAGATAAATAAACGTAGGATCTGTTGCCTATACTCAAAGTGGTATTTGAGTTGGTTTCCTCAATATTACTATGATTATTTATTTTATCATTAATGAAGTTCGGTTTATGGCCTTTAAACATTCTCATTGCTAAACATTAGTCACTAGGCATGTAGCAGTGATGTAACTGGAGTTTACTACCCATATCATTCCCCACCCTTGGATTTCATGGGGGTGACACCAAAGATGCCACCCTGGGTGACACCAAAGATTCCGCCCTGGGTGACACCAACCCTAGCAATGCCTCTGGTGACATGGGTTAGAATGGGTATATTAGGCCAAGCTGGATTTAGTGAGGCTGATTGACACAATAAGACTCTCGAAGTTGTAAAAATAGGAAACATTTCTTTACCAAATTGCACCAAATGCTTAGGAATGCAATAAACCTATATTAAAGGTTATTATTAAAAAAATTAGAAGTAAGAGAGAGAGCAGGATTGCGGATGAACAAGGAGGCTTTAGAATGGATAAGGCATGTGTAGATAGTGTTTACATTGAAGCATATATGTGAACAGTATTTAAAGGTAGGGAAGTTTTCAGTGTATTTATGGATTTAGAAAGGCATGTGGTAGGGTGGATAGGGGAGCAAGGTGGCAAGTGTATGGAATAGGTAGTTAGTTACTAAATGCTGTAAAGAGTTTTTATGAGGATAGGGAAGCTCAGGTTAGGGTGTGTAGGAGAGAGTGAGATTACTTCCCAGTAATAGTAGGGATGTGTAATGTTACTGTGGTTAACATATTTATAGATGGGGTTGTAAAGGAAGTAAATGCTAGGGTGTTTGGTAGAGGTATGGGATTAAATTATGGGGGATAAATACAAAATGGGACTTTACAGTTACTTTTTGCTGATGTGCTTTTAGGAGATTCTAAAGAAAAGTTGCAAAGGTTAGTGGACGAGTTTGGGAGGATGTGTAAAGGAAGAAAGTTGAAAGTGAACATACATAAGAGTAACGTGATGAGGGTATAAAACGATTTAGATTAAGAAAAATTGGATATCACATTGGAGGGAAGGAGTATGGAAGAAGTGAATGTTTTCAGATATTTGAGAGTTGACTTAGCCAGCAGATGAGTTTATGAAGGATGAGGTTAACAACAGAACTGATGAAAGAAAAAAGGTGAGTGGTGCTTTGAGGTCTCTGTGGAGACAAAAAAAAAAAGTTATCCATGGAGGCAGAGGGGGAATGTACGAAAGTATAGTGGTACCAACACTTTTATATGGGTGTAAAGCATGGGTTGTAAATGCTGCAGCAAGGAGATGTCATGTCTAAGGGCAGCGTGTGGTGTAAATGTTATGCAGAGAATTTGTAGTGTGGAAACTAGGAGGTGGTGTGGAGTTACTAAAAGTATTAAGTCAGAAAGGTTGAGGTGGTTTGGTCATTTAGAGAGGGTGAAGCAAAATCTGTAGGATAAGGAAGGCATGGTAGGGGTCATCCTAAGAAAGGTTGGAGGGAGGGGTTAAGAGGTTTTATGGGCAGGGGGCTTGGACTTCCAGCAAACGTACGTGAGCATGTTAGACAGGAGTGAATGGCGATGAATGCTTTTTGGGACCTGATGAGCTGTAGGAGTGTGAGCAGGGTAATGTTCTGTGAAAGGATTCAAGGAAACCAGTTAGCCAGACTTTAGTCCTGGGGGTGGGAAATACAGTGCCTGCACTTTGAAGGAGGGGTTTAGAATATTGGCTGCTTTGAATGATATCTAAACTGTTGTATCTGAGTGCCTCTGCAAACGGTGATTTTTGTATGAATAATGGTGAAAGTGTTTTCTTTCCTTTTGGGTCATCTTACATCGGTGGGAAACAACCAACGTGTTAAAAAAAAAAATGGATTTCAAAAAGTAATAACAGTAATAAATGTTTGAAATTGTTTAGGAGTGGAGGAGAGAGCTGGACTCTGGCTCTGGCTTCAGCAATTCTGTGATACTGCAGTTTTCTCTAACTTCATTACATATATGATTTCTCTCTAAAACACTTACTTTTCATGATCTATAGATGGATTAAAAATGTTATGTTTAGTAGAGAAGAAAAAAAGTTCTACACCAGCTTTGTCCAGAGCAAAGCCAGGATAGGCAGGGAAATACCAGGTCTCCACCCCTCTTGTAATATTCCTGCTAGAGCTGTGCATCTGAAATGTGTGACACGAGACCATTATCAGTACAGTCTTGCTACTGACTTCTATCACTTTTTAAAGCTCATGCCTAACATGTTCTATGAACTGCCAAGAAATTGTTGGCCTACTTGCATCATAATGTCTCACTCCTGTTTGCCAAATGGAAGAAAGTATGAAAATTGATATGATTGA